TAAGTACTATACATAATAAAAAATTTAAACAGTTTTTTTTTTTTTTAAACTTAGGCGATCTTGTCCTTCATTTATTGAGAGAAAACATAAAATATATTATAACAAAAATATAAACTAAGCTAAGCTAGTTATATAATGTCCTCTCTATGCAAATCCGAACTCACTCAGCTACCAAACGGTGCCCAGGTGTGATTTAACCGCAATAGTCAAATTTTCCTCCTATAAGAACAGTTTGCTGAAGCAAAGTCATGTTCAAATAATTGACAGAAGGTTACTATATACCATTCTTATCAAGATTATCTAATTCTCTAACCTTCTTCTCCTAGCTTCCTGAGCTGAAGGATTTATATTTCAACTGACTAATAAAAAAAACAAATAACAAGAAATATAAAAGAGAAAAACAAAAAGAGGGAAAAAGCTGCTTAAACAAAAAAAAAGAAAACACAAAAAGAAAATGAAAGAAGAAAAAGAAGGCAGAAAAAAAGATAATCAAGATAGAACACACTATTATAGCTCGTGCTAAGGCATAAAAGATAAAAATTATTTATAGCACTAACACATATACTATAAATCTCAAGTATAACTTCTCGTAAGCTATCATTCTATTTACGTAAGCAGATCCATGTTGGCTTCACGTGTGTTAATCGACTTGTAAATAATCAAGACGTGACTTGCTTAAAATAGAAGGTGGTACAGGTGCAAATCCTTTGTTGGGGGTGAGCCAGAATCCCCACTTTTTCAAAATGAAAACAAAGTGAAAAAGCTACGGTCGTCGTATTGGTTTTGTTGGTCAAAGGATAGAGGAGGTTGCTTGCAGAAACCAGTTACAAAGTGAAAGAGAGTTGAAGTGTTTGCCCTAGTGCAAAACACTGTTTGTTGTTTCTTCTTCTTCTCCACTACTTCTTTTCTTCTCCTTTTTCTTTAAAACGCCATAACGTAAACTTTTGGCCAAAATAATAGTATTATCACCCGCTAGGTCTTTATGCCTCTTATGTAAAGTATACTGGGCTATACAACTCGCGCTTCTATTTAATAACTACTATTTTGCTGAGTTTCCTAGAGTTTTAAATTATTTTGTATTTAAAAATATTTGCTCCGTAGTAGTTTAGGTGATTAGCGGAGAGAGTTGAATGGTCAGAATTGAGTATAGAATATTTATAGTTTTTTACTCTGTAGCTTATTTAAGCTTTTTTTTAATAAATAATAGGCAAGATTACCTAAGTATAAAAAAAAAAAAAAAGAAAAGTATTACAATGTTTAAATCTTATTCTAAAATAGACTAGCCACTCATTTTTTTTTTTATAAAATTTTATTAAAATTTTTTTTTTTAAAAAACTTGTATAACAAGGTCTAGTGATCTAGTATAGTAGTTAGGTTGTCAGACTGCTATGCAATAAATCTGAAGTTCAAATCCTATTGTTGACAAATTTGAATAATTTCTCAGACCTTGTGATACGTTACTGTAAACCCTATTTATTTCTGAAGTGTACTCTATAAATTAAGTTATACCAAATCAATCAGAACTTAGAAGTGTAGTATAATATTACATGAATAAATCTTGATAGGATATACAGGCAGAGGATCTGCATGGTAGAAATCCCAAGTCAGTGAAATAGTATGGCCTTCTAACAGGACTACATCAGCTAAAGTTTAATTCGTGAAGAAAACTCAGTCTAATAAAAGTAGAAGGTTTTAAGGTTTCTGGGCAAAAGGTAACTGGAACTGGCTAGATACTGAAAAAGAACTAGGTCAACTGACTATTGGAGGATCATAGTAGAACCTGAGATTGTACACATATCTACAAGAGTCTAAGCTAGGTGAATTCATAAAATAAGTACAGACTGCTCTAGTAGGTTTGCTTCGAGGTTAACTAGCTCTATAATACTAGCAATTTATCTAATATAATATATTCTAAGAAGATCTAAGCTATTCTAAATAAATAAATCTGTAATGAGCTAGCTGGCTTAAGCAGTTAGATGTTGCAGTAATATTAGATTAGATCTATATAGGTTAATGAACAGAGTATTTAAATAGATAACTTACAGACAGGTTACAGGTATAGTAGCATAGTATAGAACTAATCGAGTAGCTTAACACCTATATAGCAGATTACTTAAAATAGATAATGACTAAAGTTGTACATGTAGCTTGTTGTATACTCTTTATATAATTACAAACAGTAGAGATTATCAATATATAATCTTGCTAATAATTCTAATAAAATTCCTTTGGCAATATAAGCTACTTTAACAACAAAAAAAAAAAAAAAAACTTGTATAACATTTTTTTTTTTATTATTAAGGCCACTTTTTTGGCCAATTAGATTTTATTAGTTTGTTATTACAGAACTATCACATGAATAGTTTTCTAAGGTTTTATAGTTATATGATGCATGTACAACAAGCTACATGTACAACTTTAGTCATTGTTTAATTTAAGTAGTCTGCTATACAGACAATTAACTATCTGTTGGTTCTACACTATACTGCTATATCTGCAATCTACCTGTGAGTTACCTATTTAAATATTCTGATTATTAACACTTCCTCTTATCCCAAACTAATATTACTACTATAACTAACTACTTAAGTTAGCCAGTTCACTTGTGGATCTATTCTTTGCATAGCTTAGATTCTCTCGAAATATATATGCCTAACATATTGTGAGTTGCAGAGCTTCAGTTAACCTTAGAAGTAAACCTACTAGAGTGGTCTATATCTATTTTATGGATTTATCTAGCTTAAACCCTTGTAGATATTCATACAACCCAGTTCTTACTATGGCTCTCTACTAGTTTTCTGTGTCTATCTTCTCAGATATTTCACAAGACAGATCCTCTCAATTCAGTTAGCTATCAAGCCAGATTGGTATTACTAATCCTTCTTGTGGAATGGATTTATATGCATCTGACTCGATCTGCATCTTTTGATAATAGTTTTCTTTCTGGATCAAGCATTAGCCAGTATGACTGTTGAAAGCTGTACTACTTCACTAACTCAGGATTTCTACTATGCAGATCCTCTGCCTATAGATTCTATTAAGATTTATTCATATAACATTATGCTCTCCAAACATCACATCACACTTCCAATATCCAAATAATATTAGTATAATGTGATTTACAGAGTTACAATTCCAGAAATAAACAGGGTTTACTGTAAGTTAGGTACAAAAGTCTAGATAATTATTCAAATTTATTGATAATGAGATTTGAACCTTAGACCTCTTGTATGACAGTTTGACAATTTAACCATTATACTAAAATTGCCAACTTTATTTATTTATATTTATATTTATATTTTTTTGATATTCAAATACTTTTTTTGAGCAAAATATTTTCTAATTATATTTTTAATCTTTGTCTAATCTCACAAATTTTTCGTCTATTACTATACTTTTTAGTTTTATTTCTAATAAATCTACTAATATATCAATATTTTAAAATTTACTATTCTTTTTATTTGTTTTTATTTTTAAATCTTCTTTTCTCAGTTTTATTACTATTTCTGTTATCTTTCTACTAGGTAACTTTTCTATAATATGCTAAATTTAGTTTTTGTTTCTATTTCTATTTCTTTGTAGTTTCTACTAATTGTATTTGAACTATAATTTCTTCTTAGTTTATAATTTGTTTTATCTTGTTAATTCTATTTGCGATTACTACTCTTTCTATTATTTTTCTCTATTACCTTATTGCAGATACTATTCTTTTATTTATATATATTACTTTTGCAATTATTTTATCTAAATATATTACCAAACCTTCAACAGAATTACTTCTATTGTATATTATTTTCTCACTATAAATCTTAGTTATTTTTTCTATTAATCTTTCAGAATTTTCTAAATATTATATTTTATCTAAATTAGATATATTAGATTTTTCTATTTATTGATCTTCTTAGCAAAAAATCTAAAACTTATTATAACTCAAAATATAGAACTCTAACAGTTGTCTAGTTTTGGTTTTTGTTTATTCTAACTGCACATAACTAGTTTATATAACTTACTTCTTGTTTTGATAATTTTATATTGATTTTGTTATGAAACACAAATAAACAAAACTTTCTGAGATATAGCTATTCCTTAGAATATTACAAAAAAAAAAAATTTCATTGCAAATATTCTTTTTTCTATATTATATTTTTGACAGAAAGCTTGTTTTCTCTTTTTTCTTTGAACTATATGTCTTTCTTGAACTAGAACCTTTTTCTTAATGTAACTTGAAAAGTTATTTAATCGTAAATAGGAGTTTTCTGTGATTTAGCTTTAGCTCCGAATTTGGTTCGAGTAATCTACAGAGAGTGTGTAAATCTTTTTATGTTTATTGTCGCATTTCTTTTAATATATTATTTATTATATCAGATGATAAATAATATAATAAAAAGAATGCGACAATTATAAACGTTTAGTATTAAAATGCACGTTACATTCTTATTAAAATTTCGATCTTTTTATATCATTAGCTAGCGAATTGGCGATTAATTTTTTAAAAAGACCATAAAAAATATATATGCAGTAAATACAAATGTAGTAATTATACTTTAATAATCATATAATGTATTACAAAAATTACCTATAAAATATATTCAACCAACCCCTACTACGTATAACGTTTATTAATTATTTTATCACCTTTGATTAATAAAATGTTTTTTTTTTTTTTTTTTTTTGCTAAATTTATCCGTTGAATTTGTTATCAAAAATGAGAATATTTTAAAATACAAATAGAGATTATACATGAATTTTACTATGCAATTTCGAATCAATTTATGCCTATAATTTATCACTATTAATAGTCCGATGCACCAAATAAAACCAACGACATATATACTTTAAAATTCGTATACGAAAAAATCTCTATTATCATTTTTAATTCTTTTTAATCTCAACTATAAAAAACTCGCCATTGATCCGACTCAAAGTATTAAGTACATTAAAAGTTCAGAAATGATTCTACTATAGCTATTGTACAATCTGCTAATGTAGACTACTTTTATTCACCTATTCAACCGAGGCTTACGCGATTTGGCTATTGGCCTGCTAGAAATATTTGAAGATGGTTCGGCTGCAATGTTACTTGTTCCGTTCTGGAAAAGCTGCCCATTGCCGTTTATACTCATAGAATCATTAGGACCACTATTAATTGGCCTAAAAATTGGCGTTGTTGCTGAAGGATTGAGGTTTAATCCGCCAAAACTATTGCCAAAGGTCACTGGTTGTGATGGAAAGACTGATTGAAAATTGAAAATGCTTGAAGCTGACCCATTAGTTTGAAATGCATTTTCAGCAGGTGAGCTAGGAATATCCTGATTAAATCTAAAAATTGAAGACGTTGATGTAGGTTGGACGGAAGGAATTGGTGTCGTATCTTTTTTTACTTCAAAAGTAAATGAACTTTCAGATAACATCATCCGACTGGAATCTGACCCCTCAAAAGACCCTGTTTTTGGAACCGACAATAAATTACGGCCTTCATTACCACCTCCCCCAAAGCCACGTTTTCGCCTTCCACGATTTATTAGCTTAGATTTATACGTATTTGATTGTGCTTCCGTTGAAATACCATCATTGAAGAAAGCATTTCCTAGCAAATTTGGAGTATTAAACATTGTTGTCGCAGGAAAGGTTGGAATAGACAAACCAGGCGTTTGATGGTTTATATTAGTATTGCCCATATCAATGTCCATTGGTGAACCAGACGGAGGACTTGAGGCTAAAATTGGTGGTCGAGAAATGGGAGGATAAAACCCGAAACCTTTATTTTTGTCTTCCTTGATTTCCTTCTCTTTGCTCTCTTGTTCAACTTCACTTTTTTTGTTTTCTTCGCTATCTTTGTTTTGTTCACTATCTTTGTTTTCTACACCATCTTTGTTTTTTTCATTATCTTTATTTTCTTCACTATCTTTATTTTCTTCACTATCTTTATTTTCTTCGATTTTTTTATTTTCTTCGATTTCTTTATTTTCTTCGATTTCTTTATTTTCTTCGATTTCTTTGACTTCTTCTACTTTATTTTCTTCGATTTCTTTGACTTCTTCTACTTTATTTTCTTCGATTTCCTTATTTTCTTCGATTTCCTTATTTTCTTCGATTTCTTTATTTTCTTCGATTTCTTTATTTTCTTCGATTTCTTTATTTTCTTCGATTTCTTTGACTTCTTCTACTTTATTTT